GATCACAGTAACCAATCACAATTTCTTGAACATTAACAAGCTTATTAAACATGGTAGTGCATGAACTTATGTTAGTCAGTCAGATTTTATCTTCTTCATGTGTTAAAGGTAAAAATTGTAGCAAAGACAATTTGTTGCCCAGAGTGGCCTATCAGATTTCGTAACTTATTTTCGCTCCCTAGCAGTGATTTGCAGTACCTTCGCTTCTTGGTGAGACATTCCCAATCCCCGCCCCCATGCCGGCGAAGCCAGGACTAGTGTGAAGGAGGGAGGGAGGAGACAGAGAGGAGCCTCCCTGTCCCTCACTTGCTCGTCACTGCTGAGGCATCGAGATCGATGGCCTCAGTGGGTTTTTTTTCTTTTCTTGGACAGCTTTGGACCAGTAGCGCTTTGCCATTGGTCGAAACCATCCACAGAGCTCACGCCTCTAGCAAAGAGTAGAGGCTGTGACAGCTCTTGCCTCACTAGTTAGGTTATACAAGCAGGGGGGAAGCCCGCTGCTGTGTAACCTAACTACCTGTCAAAAGCCGGATGCCGCACTGCCTGTAACTAACAGGCAGCGCTCCGTCCATGACAGGTTACACAGCAGGGAGGCTTTCCCTGCTGTGTAACCTGTTAGAAGCCGATCTGAATGGAGAAAAAGCTGTCAGCCTTGGACTTGAGGCTGGCAGCTTTTCCCTCCATAATACTAGGTGAGGCTCTGCCTCACCTGCCTCCCCTGACCGCACGTCCCTGCTCTCTAGGAGTGTAAGAAGCTGTTTATAGCTGCTCCAACCCACTATCCATCTTCCTCACCACAAGAGCAGCTGCAAAGGAAGTCTCCTGGTTCTCTCTGCAATGATAGCACTGACAAATTTCTGCAGAGTTAGAAAAGCTTTTTGTAATATGGCTCTCTAAACTGTGCCTCAACCAAGCCCATTTGAGAGGCCATTTGGAAAGGTACTCGAATTGCATTTGCAAGGACTCGGCAGATCATCAAAAGAGTGACAGCTCTGCAAGCACTTAGACTGCTACCATCTCAAGCAAGATGGTGGCATCCAGCTGCATAATACAGTGTAATTGAAAGGAGCTCTGAGTTATTTGGGACATTAATATGCCAACATTGGAGGTATAATTATTAGGATATTTAAGAAGCAGAAAAATATACTGTGAGGACAGTCTTCCAAAATGATACAGGAACTGCTAGACTAAAGCAGCTCTACCCAACATAAACACACATGAAGTTGTATTTGCTGCACAGTATTCAAAGTTTAATAAATCAAAAACAGAAGTTTACATATATTTACAGAAGATGGGATTTTTGAACAATTGGCACATGTGTTGATTAACAACTGGATTTTCAGCTGAAAATGTACGTATTAACCACAGCATTCTCCTCATCAAATTTAACATACAGTATGATACTTCCCTCACACAGGTCATGTCTCCAGTCTGTTCCACTACATACTCCAGCCCTATGCTCCAAAAGGGACACCTGCACACTGAGCATCCATTGGAAATAATGGTGCCCGTACTCACTGGCGGAACTACCAGGGTCGCAGGGGTCGCAATTGCGACCGGGCCCTGGCGTTCCGCCACTTGGGGGGGCCCAGCGAGGAAGAAGAGGGCCCCCCGAGATCGTGCTCTGCTCCTTCCCTGCCGCACAGCCACCCGCAGCATGTACGGGTAGATGTGCGGCGGGGATGGAGAGGCCCCGCACCAGTCCCGCAGAATGTGCTGCAGGCACCACCGGGCAGCACATTCTGCTGTGCATAAGTATTTTGTTTAAATTGTAAATTGTGACTGTTAATAATATTCCTTCCATCATTTACTGCCATGAATGGCATATTATTAACGGTCACAATTATAGTTCTCCTAAGGGGAGGACACAAACTATCCTTCGTAGTTTCTTGCACTGGGGCCCTGAAGGTTCTAGTTACGCCTCTGCCCGTACTCTTAAGACTCCAAGTGTGTGCCAAGCAGGTACAATGTATACTATTGCGGCACAGTGCATGCCTTTAAAAGCATGGGGCTGAAGCTATGGCCTGGACAATGCTGTAAAGCAGGCTAGGTAAGAATGTTATAGAGGGCCTGGGGTGTAGGTTCAGTGTTTGATATTGGTTACCTTGTAGTTTACACACATGTGTGGCCAAACTGAATCTACTAATTCATTCCCTATTAGTTGTTTGGTGTTCTAAGCCTTTAGGACCTAAAGGCTTAGAACACCAAAGTTTAGGTGATGAGCAGCATACGTGATTGTTAGGTAAAACAAATATCTTGCAATATTTTTATCAATCCCCATCCAATGATCTGCAGCCTTTGGATGTAATATAGGTAGCTTAAAGTGATATTAAAGTCAAAAGGTTTTTAAGCTATTTCAAATGCTGTTTAAAATATTGATGCTGCTCCTTGATGATTAATGGTGTTAGTTTCCTGCAGAATCAGCTGGTCTCCTGAGCACTCGCCATGACATGTTTTAGCGTGGCTCCTTTCCTTTGCAGGGTCCTAAGGAGTCAATCATGTGTGAGCGAGTAAATTGTGTGTCTCCACAAACACACAGGCATAGCAAGGCAACTCACTCCCCTGTCTTCTACGTCTTCTCCCTTCTCCAAACTAGTAAATAAACAGCTGTTGGAGACTGTGCTGTCCCTTATGATCTTGTACTTAACAAGAAGTGCAGGGAAGTGAAGCTGAGAGATGTGGAGTTAGCTTTCCTGAAACATAGGTGCTTTAAATATAAAGACATACTTTGCTGGGCAATGTATATTTGTTTAATCTGGATTTATTATTGAGAAAATAGTTTCATACTTTGACAGACTGCAAACGTCACTGACTGCAGAATAGCTTAGCCACTTTTGCCTTCAACCTCACTTAATTTTAAATCCGAATGAAGTCTAACAACCTTTTCTAAACTGAAAGTCCCGTATCTTGGTATGTTATCATTTTCAACTGATTTTTGCTTGCCTTAAACCACTTCAGTACCAGCATGTTACACACCCATGCCTTTCCATGCCATCCCATGCCATTTTTCAGGTTTCATTGCTCAATTGTGCCCAAATAAATTGTATATCTTTTTTTTTTTTAACAGACAGAGCTTTGATTTGGTGGTATTTTATAACCTCTGTTTGTTTTTAAGTTTTTACTATGTAAGGGGAAAAAAAGGGAAAATAAATATGACAAAAACCTGATGTTCTGACTGCCTATCACATTTCTTGAGGCCCTAAAATGCCAGGACAGTATAAGCACCCCCAAAATGACCCTTTTTATGTTTGTCAGGATGCATGGTAAGTATTTTAAAGATATTTCACTACAATGATTTGGAGGATGAGCAGGCATGCTGGTGTTGGGGTGGTTGTATACTGCATATATGATCAAAAAGGTGTATATGTAATACATGAGAATGCTCATGCACCTAAAACTGCCAACCACCATGTAACATGATCTCCAACTAAAACACGACAGAATATGATCGATTGGTGTCCTCGTCACCATGGCCACTGTCTGTCCCAAGCGCATGGCTGCTGGACTCTCCCTTTTTCCGTGATTGGGTCTTTCCCTGGTTTTCCCTCCAGTGTCTATGGGAGGGTGGTGGACCAAGCTGAGCCAAAACTTTTGTTTTCTAGTTTTGGATAGAACAGGGAATGGTTAGAACTCTTGTCAACTTACCTCTTGTCAACTTTTTTGTCTGTATGCCATTGGGGAGATTTTCTGCCCCAGGCGACACAACAAGAAGTGAGAAATATCTCCAAAGTGAGTGAAAATCCCATCAGCCTGGGTGTCCACATGGGAACATTTCCTCTCACCTGGTCTGTACATTTTTGCTTTTCTTATAATTTTCTGTATGTCACAGTGGCCACCAGGACAAATAGGGAGGGTAAATCTCTACAGTGGTAACAAAGACGGCAATAAGAACCTGATGGGTTTTAACCATTCCTCACTTTACCCAAAATGTAACAAAAAAAGATTTTGGCTTTAGATATACTTTAAAATACCATTGTGTTTAAATAGAAATACTATTTTGTGTTGTAATCTCTGAACCCTATTATTTTAATTACAGACTTTATATTTTATTTTAAAATGCTATGATTTGCCATCTTAGCTTGGCAATTTTTCATTTTTAAATTTGACCAGTAAATGTGAAGGGAATATAATATTCACCCTTTTATAAACAGAGTGGGCATTACAGTAAGCACATTTTCCCATCAAAGAACAGACATTGACAAATGTCAGCAAACATTTTTTATACCCAGCTAATGTTTGGCAAATATGTTTTACAAATATGTATGAATAGGTTCACTAATTTAAAACCAAAACACTGCCTATGTGGCCAAGTTGTTAAGAGAGACACAGAATAAGTACACAAAGCCACGGACATCTTCCTCTAGTGGCTTATACAAGTCTTTCATACATTAATTACCGTGAATATGTAAAAGCATGCTTGTAAACATGGTAAAGTTATAAATTAATGTTAACCCTACAAAAATAACTCAAAATATGTGGTCATGGAAAATGCACTATACCCCTTGTCAAGGGGTTAGGCAGATATGACACTTATATCACTCTGTGTGTTCTACAATACAAATAACAGGACTTGCTTACTTTACCATCACTTTTTCTATTGCTACAAATCCATATTACACTGTAGAGACAATCAATACTAGTCTTAATTTAGTTTGTTCGCCTGGTATATCAACTTTTATGTTTCTTCCCACCCATGTAGAACTTGGGAAGATTGCTCGCATGTTCTTCTTTTATGATTCGTATTGGATGTCTGATATATCTTTTGTTTTTCTGTTGTGGCATAACATCGATCCTATTTTTTTGTTATTATTATAAACTTGTTCAAAATAAAGAATTATAATAAAATACATAAAAACAGGACATTTGCTTTGTAAATTTGCAAATCTTACCTATTCTTTTTAACATAAGGATATATATAATATTACCAGAAACCCTTTAACTGTTTCAACAGCTAAGTACACATAATAAAAATACAAAACAAAGCTTGCTTAGATGTTACTTTACCTTTTTCTTGTACAGAGATTTTCCTCACTTTCACTCATCACTAGTGATCTACTAGTTCCACCTTGACTTGCTTCAAGCATTACTTCAATCTACAATTAAATGCAAATCAAACATCTGCATGTAATAAAGTCAGTAGCATATCATCTAAACTGAGCGCAATCATTAATTCAAAATTATATCTCTAGTATATTACATCGGACACTTATAGTTTGTGTAGTCTTTTAAATTGTTTTTTTTTTCTTTGTGTTATTGAAATACTTGTTCTGTTGTAATTTTATGATATAGAGAGACTAGTTCTGTTGTACGTTTGTGATATTGACAGACTTGGTCTATTGTAATATTGTGATACTGAGAGACTTGCTCTATTAGGCGGCTCAAAATTTCAAGTCCCGAGTTACTAACCAGGCCTTAAAAGTTACTCGCCACCAGTTGCCCCACCTAACCCCTACCCTGCCGCGGCCTCCGCCAGGTTAGTGGTGTGACGCAGAGTACAGAGATCAGTAACAATGCACAGTACAGAAGTCAGTGGTGCAATGCCGAATACAGAGGCCAGCTGTGTGACGCACAGTACAGAGGTCAGCAGTACAGAGGTCAGTATTGTAACGCACAGTACAGAGGTCAGCAGTGCAGAGGTCAGTATTGTAACGAACAGTACAGAAGTCAGCAGTACAGAGGTCAGTAATGTAACGCACAGTACAGAGGTCAGCAGTACACAGGTCAGTGTGACGCACAGTGCAGAGGTCAGTGTGATGCACAGCGCAGAGGTCAGCGTGATGCACATCGCAGAGGCCAGTGTGACGCACAGCGCAGAGGCCAGTGTGACGCACAACGCAGAGGTCAGTGGTGTTAGGAAGAAAGAAAAGGGACTTACAGTGCACTTAGCTGATGGTATTCAGGTGCCCTCTTCTTTCTTATGGTGATTGTGGTGTCAGCGAAGAGGTCAGCGGTGTAAGGAAGAAAGGGGACATACAGTGCACTTAGCTGATGGTATTGAGGTGTCCTTTTCTTTCTCCTGGTGATGGTGGTGGTGAGGGGGCGGTACAGAGATCTTGAATGTAGGGAGATAAATATTTTTTCCCCCATGCTGCCTACATTTTTGGCCGGTCTCACTGTCTCTGCAGTCTTCCTCCCAGCCTGGCAGCTGAGGTGGTCGGAGGAAGCTGCAGAAGACAGTCGCAGGGAAGACAGTGGAGCTGAATGTCATCGAGGTGCGCCGCCGGCAGGACCAAGGATGGGACACTACCGTTGCGGCGATCGTTCGCTTCTATGCTCTCTTCTCCTCCTCGGCTGCTCTGTAGCTGCAGCTATAGAGGAGAATGAGAGAGAATTGAAGCTAACGATCGCCGCGGCGGTAGTGTCCCATCCCTGGTCCCGCCGGCGGCACACCTCGATGACATTCCACTCGCCCCCATGCAATTTTCACTCGCCAATTGCGAGGGGGCTAGCGGAAATATTGAGGCCTGTTCTATTGTAATAATTTTTAAGTAAGAAGTGTATGATGTCTTTAGAGATCTTGGTGTCCTGAATTGCTGTATGCCACACAATGCCCCACTACATATGTACTATTTCCACCTAAATAAGCTCACATTTGTAGAGCAAGGAAAAAGACCAGTAAAAAGCAGCATGTATTTGTATTTAAAGGTCTTTTCTTATTACTTTATATTATTTAATTATGTGGATGCTATACATTTGTCATCTACAGCTTATAAATTATTCTGTAGAATACTTATGTGAGTAATATGTAATATAAAAACCTATAATGCCTGTTAATAGAATCAATGGCATAACAAGTTATGAGAAGTACAGTTGCAGCATTAAAACCAAGTATAAAAGTGTTTTCTTTCTACCCTTAAAGACGTTGGTGAGGAATGAAGATCTCAGACTTGGCCTGTGTTGCAGGCTGCAAGCTTAGACCAGGATGGAAACAAGGGTTAGGGCAAAAAAGCCACATGCAGCACTCAGGGCTGCCAGTTGGTCTTCAATATTTAAAAACTCCCAAGCTGAACTGTATAGAATACAAAGTATCACTTTACCTTTATTCCACCTTTTGTCTTCTTATTGTTCCTTTTTCTGGCCAGATCAGCTTCAGAGAGTGATTTTGGAGGGGCACAGGGGACATCTGGTGCTCTTCGTGTTGTGGCTGAAAATTACATTTATGTTAAAGTCTATTTTGTTTTCGATAAAACAAAGCAAATATATGTGTGTATTTTTATGTAATTTTCAACAAGGAAATATACCTAGTTGCCCAGAATTGTACATAAACCTATTCTATCATATGAAACTGTATTTTGTAAGTTTCTCCCAAAGGTAACAGAATTATTGTTCTTATTATACAGGATTTATAGAGCACCAACAGTTTGCGCAGTGCTTTACAATATAAGGAAGACATTACAGTTACAATACAAGTCAAGACAAGATGGTAAGGAGGGCCCTGCCTGTGAGAGCTCACAATTTAAAAGGGAGGGGCAAGTGATACAAGAGGTGGTAGTTGTGTGGGAATGAATTGTTTGAGTGCAATGGTTAGGTTGAGGTGGGATAGGCTCCACTGAATTGGCTTTAGCTGTTCACTTGATTCCAAGCTTTTATTCTTTATTATTTAACAATAATGCCCAGTGCTTGTGCTCTTTAATGACCTTAAAACAGATAGAGTTCATGGAAGAAATGGAAAAGAAAAAAGAACTCCAATTAAAGCATATCTAAACCCAAAAACAAAACTTGAATATGCATCTTACTAATCCTTAAGGCCTTGTTCACACCAAATGCAGAGCAGATCTGGTCAGGTTTCTGCACACGCACGCTAGTCTTTTAGATGCGTTTTTGATGCGTTTTTGGATTTAAAAAAAGATATATATACAGTATATATATTTTTGTTTAACATGGGCTTTCGGTGCATTCCAGGCATTTTCATGTGTTTTTGATGCGTTTGCAGATCCAGAGTAGGTAAAATAGGGCCTGCTGCAGTTTTTTTAACCTGCTCTGGACCTGCACGCTGCGATGTGAACTGGAGCTAAAAATACCATTGGAATACATTGGACACAGTTTTGATCCGGTCTGCACCTGCTCTGCACCTGCTCTGCACTTGGTGTGAACTAGCCCTAAGGCCACGTTCCCACGCATTAGTTTTTCTGTGTTTGCTGTGTATCCCCATTGATTGCAGTGGGTTCCTGGATGCGCAACAAATGTAAGAAAGTAGTGCATGTAGCAAACCCCACTGCATGCGTTTCATTGTTCATGCGCATTTAACAACTGTGCTTTTAACTAGTAATTATATCACAAGCACATTTGACGTTTTTGATGCAGTCTGTGAACGCATGTGAAAGCATGTGGTTTTTCCAGAGTTTGGTGCGCGTTCATGGAACGGGAAGGTGTGAACAGAGGTCTAAATGTAGTGGTTGCATTGGCTTTTTTTAGGCTTTTTTCACTTTATTTTCACCTGGTGATCCAGCCAGTAAATATACACTTTATACAGTATATTGCTAAGTTGCAATATATTTTAAAAAATTATGTTTTTTGGGTTTAGATACACTTTAGGTCAAGAGCCTGACAACACTGAAAATTAACCTTGAGTGCCATTTTATTTGTAGAACTGTTTTTTTTTTAAATATCCCATTAAGCAACCTAGTAAAAGAAGTCAATGTCACCCATTAAGCTTGCAAATCACTAACGCCTACCAATGACATGAATACCTGCACAGTAAAACAATAATCAATAAAAAGCATAAAGGTAGTTAGTGTACTAAATGATTCACTGCCGAAACATAGATAAAAAAAGGTCATGTGATTAATTAAATGCCAAACTCCAAACATAACAAGAGTCACAAGATTGTACTAGTGAACTTTATATGCATTTTATAAAAGGTAATTCAATCAAAATCCATGTCCAAATCCGTATAGATATAAATAATTATCATGGTTAATTATAAACCTAAGCATGAGTGATAGATTATCTCCAGATCTAGACATTCATTGGAGTTCAATCCAGGCAACAAATGAAAGGAATTTGTAAGTGCAAAGCAATTGCGGAAGCATCACAACTGTTCATCTAATGTTTTCTTGTTTATCCCTTTCTCATTTTTAAATTCTTTATTTGTGCATATACAAGAAAAGGTGTACAACATGTTCCGCCAAGGTAACAGAACAGTATAGGACGTATGAGATCCCTCACAGATATCTGCCGGTAATCAGATGGAGATTACACCAAATTGTAAAATGAAAACAATTAGGCAAAAGATCTGAGCATTCACAAGATGCCAAGTGTGTAGTTGACTCTAACAGCCAATGAAGTTAGACTGGCTGATCCTATATGGGCAAACTCCTGTCTTTAACTGCTTGAAGACCAGGGGGTCTATTCACTAAGCTGCCAAGGGCAGCCGAGTGAATGACCGACCTGAAGTGAAGTGAGCCGAACACTGTTCGGCTATTCACTTCAGGCTGGTACGGCTGATTTCAGCCGTACATCGGCTGAAATCAGCCGTACATCGGCTTGCTTCGCGTGGCTTCAGGTCGGCCGAACATGCTCAGCATGTTCGGCCAACCTGAAAAAATGTTTTTTTTACATTATGTTAAGAAACATTTATTATTGCCCAGTTTTTCGGTAAAATATAGAAGACCAGGTCACGTCGGGTAAATAGACACCAAACATGTCAAGCTTTAAAATTGCGCGCACCCGCGAACTCGTAGAAAATGAAGAATTCTCACCGTGTATTATTTTTCACAGCTCTGTCCCCTAACTCCACAGTATATGTTGCTTTTTATCCCATGCTTCTGTGTTAAGTAAAAACAAAGATACAGGGCCTAAAAGTCCACTCCTTTTCATATAGATAATTATTCATAATGCATGTTTTATGCTATGTATATCTTTCATGCTTTTCATTCTATTTTCTGTGTGAACTACATATGGACAGTTCCTCTTCTGAAAAAGCTTCTAAAACATGTACCAACACATTACAATCCAATGAATGGTTAGTTGAGGTATTGCAGATTTCCTATGTTCCACAATGTTGTGCAGAGAGTAAAATGCATTATAGCATAAAATGAAAACACATTAAAGCAGTGGTGGCGTGACTCTGCGGTATAGCAGAGCTCCTGAATTATTCTTCCATTCATCTCCACAGCAGACTAATTACTGAGGACTATCAGTCCATTGATGTCTTTACCTTTGCTTCTTTTGTGATTATAAGTTATTGTACACCTATTTCTACCAATAAAAAGGATTATTGCACCAGGACAGGCGCCCGGTGTTGTCTTATGTTTTCATGCAGTGTTCAGGATCCCTCACCTGTAACGGGGCAGCCGTACTGGATTTTAAGAAGTTGTTTGGGCCACAGGAGGGTTACTTTTGGCACTGGTCAGTGCTTTTTTGGAACATTAAAGCGACTGACTTAACTCTGCTAACAGCAGACATTTTCTGAACCAATAATTATGGCCTGGTAAACCATGAAACTGGACTAGGACAGCACAGTTTTTGTTTTTTTTTTCAATTTTGGTTTTATGGAGCTTCTTAGAGGAACAATCTAATGTTTTTGTGTCAATTTGAAAATCAATGCTTCATTTTTTAAACGAGATATATTTTATATATTAAGAATTAATACCTGGTAAGACAACTCAACTGTATTTTTACACCTCCTATTTCGAGTCTTATCCACCCACAAACTTCCTTGTTATTTGTACATTTTGTACTTGTTGTACCTGTTTACAAGTACCGTGTACTTGCTTTATGTAACATTTAATACCAATAAAAATGTATTATTTAAAAAAAAAAAGAATTAATACAGTTGAACCCATAATACTTTGTTCTTTCAGTCTGTCTTCCCCTAATTAAAACTCTGTACAGAGCCCTACTGGGCAGAAAAGAGGAATAAGTTACTCCTCTTACTCATTCATCCATAGCCCAAGCTTCAGTTATTAGCTTTTCCAACAAAGCAGTTAATATAACAGTGGTAAATGTTAAAAAGGAATCCAAATCACTACTTGCTGGCTGGATATTGTAAATATGAAATATTTATATGCACTATTTCATATTAAATTTTTATGTTTACTATTTCTATCCAATATTTCATATTTGCTTGACCATTTTTTTATTTGTACTTCTGAACATAAAAAAATACAAATACACTATACATTATCTTTTACCTCACCAGCTTACTTTACTCATTAGGTCATTTTACTGATGCATAAAGCACAAAAGGGTGAATTCAGTAGTACGCATGCTTTTTTTTAAAAAGGAGAACTATGGGGCAATGGTTTTCTTTAATAGTTCTTCTTTGGGTCATGGGAGGACATATATTGCGGTGACTGACAGTCAATGCTCTCTGCAGGGAGATGATGGGGAAATGAGCAGATCAGAGGTATGTTTTCGCTCACTTCCCAATCAATAGAACTGACCTGTGACAGTTTTAATGTCACATTTTGGTTCTAACTATAGGGATGAGTGTAATTCATAGTTCTCCTTTAATGGTATAAAGATATGTCATCTACACAACAGAGTTCAAGAAAGTTTGCATTTTATTACCCTGAGCGTTTATTCCCCTGAGTGTTTCAGGAACATGCAGGACCCCGACATGAAGGCATATCCGATATTTACATTTTATTCATTAGTATTTAGTTTATTTCATTATGTTCACTATTTTTATGATAGTTTTCTCATGAAAAATTTTCATATCACTAAAATAAATACTGCATAGGTATGGGATTTGTTTTTTCATGAAAGGAACCTGAATTTCTCACAAACATGTATTGAAATTCTGACCTCACATGGCTCCTTTTTCTCACAATTATCTCTGGGCTAGTGATTTTCTAAGGAGTAAAAACAGTGTGAATTGACCCAAAGCGATTTATACTTTTTTATATCCCGTGTGGATAACATCTTGAACTTTTGATCAGTATATTCTATCAAGTTATGAGGTCACATTGCAAACTCAGCTGTGTTTTCTATAAACAGTCCAAAACTAGTGTAAATATGTGCAGCTGGTTTCATAAAATAAATATTGATATGTTTATGAACTGTTTCTATAACATTTATAAATAAAAATAAACATCTATCTATAAAATTTGTCCTTAACTGATAATAATATCTGCTTCTGTAAAATTCCACCACACTACCACCAGTCTATGAAGTAATGTCTCTCACTATATGTAATAC